CGCATTCTTACAAATGCCAGGTCGTCGTCTAGATTGCATTGAATACCTATTGCTGTCATTTGTTTCGAAGCCTTCATAGTTTGCTGTGCTCGATCACGACAAGGGTAAGGACTATCGGTTGAAACGAATGCATCAACTAAATCTGGCTTAATCATAGAAGCTGCGTCTTCCAATTTTGGTGGAGGTGACGTTTGCGTAGCAATTGGGAAAGACATATTTCGGTTATTAAGTTCACTTTGTTCATCAGTTATCGGTAACAAAGTTTGTGCTGAATATATTTTGCGTTGCGTTGCTATCTGCTGTGTTATAAAACGAGTTTCAACGACTATCATTTGGGGTAGTTCCATCCAGAAGTTCTGTGAAAATAGAGAAATAAACAATAACATACATTTCAAAGATGGCCGCGGGCGCGAAGCAGTTAAGTAAAGAAAACAATGTAAACGAACATGGTACCTTTGAGGACGTTATGGACTTGTGTACGGCAGGCGTATTAACACCATTTCCAAGTAAACTTCTAGTTTCGGCATCAAGGTGCGCCACTGGTGAATCCATGTCTGCATTGTTTGTAAACTCGATATTAGGAATATATGAGCAGATAAAATAAATTTACCAACTCACCTGAGGATTCCAATGTTACTGTAATGATGGGTTCAGCTGAGCTATTGTTCATAGTGCTGCTTAATTTCCCGTGACTTTCGACAAACAGACAAATAACATAATGTGACCGCTCAGCAAACAGGTGGGTATTTCTTTACTAACAGGCAAAAAACTTATGTTCTTAAGATTTCCTTCCCACGCGCGTATATTTGAAGCTTGCAATAAACATTTGCCAAAGTGTAGGCCTCAATAATGTCAGGGTTGCATATAATTTTCAAATGTTTATCGATCTTCAATCAACCCGATTCTACATTTCGATTACGTTCCCGCTTTCCGCTCCAAAATAATCGGAATTTCCGGACTGATCGAACACAAGATTGCGCCATGAACCAATTAGAACAGATCTGACCGGTTGAGAAGCAACCATTTGTAATAGCAATTGAGAAAAAAGTGTGTGACGTTCGTAATTTCGAAGTTCGCTATTTCTGTTTTGCTTCTTTCTTTATGTGTATTTTGTCGGTGATTTTTAAGTGATTTTTTTTGCAAATGTAATTAAAATGAAGTGCGCGGTGATTGGATGCAAAAACACGTACAAAAAATAATAAATTGGTTAGCACAAACATGTGCACAACATTGCTTGCATTTTTTCCTTATGCTTCGTCTTCATATTCTTTGTTTACTTTTCACAGAAATTAACATGGCGGCGAAATTACAAACGTCAGCCAGAAAATTACTTTTTTCTTTTGCTTCATCTTGTCAGATCTTTTGTAGTTGGATCATAAGACTGCGCATTCACGGCGGCGATGACATTTCAGGACTAAAAGTAAACAAAGCCGTATTGGAAGATAAAAGAAACTGTTAAAGTAGTCAATTACTCACCATGCGTGGTGAAATTTCAGTATTGGAAAAACAGCTGGTCAACGTTAATATTTCTAACAAAGTTGTGCGGCGAAATAACAGAAAAGAGAGTATTTGTGCAAATTTTTGTAGTAAGATTGTGTGCAGTAATTTAATCGAAAAAACTAACAGCCGGTGAGAACAACTCTCAACCCACAATCCCAAAACTCGTTTTCAAAGCGTTTTCGTTTGCGGTCTGAACGTGGTATAAGTTCGCCAGTAACTTATGGTCTGATTATGGCAACTTAACGTAACTTACGGCTCTCTCTTAAGAATTCTGTTAAATGGGTGTTGCTTATAATTGAACAGCCGAAACTTAACGTAACTTAATGTCACGGCGAAATCTGTTTCATTTTGATTCTCTAAGTTCTACGTTCCGTTAAGTTAAGTTAAGTTAAGTTCCCATAATCAGGCTTTTAGGGTTTACACCGGACAATATTGTCAAGACAAATATGTCAAAATGATGTGTTTGTTGTAAACACGACGATTTCATATAACAGCAAACACATCATTTTGACATAATTGTCTTGATAATATTGTCCGTGTAAACCCTATGGGCCGGTTGTTCAATGTCTGGTTATCACTACTTGCCGGTTAAACATCATTATCGACGTTTTCGACATAATGCATATAACATGTGATCGATAAAGCAGTCGTTGCATTTAACCGGAGCTTCTACCTCCGATTTGTGCTAATCAGGCATTGAACAACCGGCCCTAAGAAACACCATCTATGATATAATAATACAAGGTGGTATCGGTTGGCAACTTCCCGCTTTCTTAACGCAGTACGCAGTTCTTAAGAAATTTACCACGCCTTCTACTACGGGTTTCTAAAGTTTTTTGTGAAAGTTTGTGAGGAATGGCAATTTTTACTTGACCGGTTTCTTGAGAGCTGCATACATGGCTTTACTCAACTGAGCTAAGGTAGTGACAAATCGAGCTGTCACAACTGATACCACCTTGTATTATTAGATCATGAACACCACCTTTTATGACTACGCCTTGACGTTTACAATTCACACCTCGTTTATTGAACACACCCCCAGGGTTGCAAAAAATAGTTCAAAACCTGAAAGTTTCTGATGATATGTTAACGTATATTTCAAGCGCATTCTGTTTATTCCGGCTGTTAAAAGGGGTATCCGGAATGTATAAAGAAACGTAGCCTTTGTTACAGCTTGCTGTTACCTTAAATTGTCTAGTTATTTTATTTTAAGCATAAAATTTACATTGGCAACACTCTCAGCCATTATGAACGACGGCGCAATGTTCACGGCGCAGCGTCTACGCTTCAGTCGGCTTCGTTCACCGTCTCGATGCGGTTTGTTTTGTCTGATTGGAAAATTCGGTCTCACGGTGCTTCAAAGTGGAGAATATACTTATATATATAGACAATACAAACAAATGCCAATCAGATTTTGGCCAAGTTTAACTCCACTCAAGTTAGTTTTTCCAGAAAATTTGTTTATTTTGGCCTAGTGCATGTGAAAACACAAAAA